GACAAAATACAGAGAGTGACTCAAGCTGAGCAGTGTTGTATGACCCTGCTTTGTTTGCTTGTTTGCCCTGCAGAAGTGAAAATTTGAGATAGAAATATTAGTTGCATAACAAGCAATGCGCGTGAAATGCATATGGAAAGAAATGGGTGCAGAAACATGATCCTGGAAACAATTTGGTAATCGGAAAAGTATGTTTGAAAGGGAGGGAAACCATATGTGTGCAGTAGATTGTCCTAACAGAGCCTGAAAAGAGCAAGCGCAGTAAAAAAAATATTAAACAATTGGTAATTCGGCATTTCTCAGCCATGGAGTCATTTAGTTGGTGACTGGACTGATATGCAGAGCTCCTCCCAACTCTTTCCATGCTGCATATGTTCACACAGAACAAAAACCAAGAGAACCAGCAATCCAGGTCTTGTCTTTTGTGTTTGTGGATCATCATTCATGTGGAATGATTAAACTAAGCACCCTTTGTTTGTTGCTGGCCCAGCAGTACAGTTTCAAAGTGGCAATCACATTAAACCAGTGGCGTCCACCTGTTTTCTGCCATGCCTGACATCAGAAGCTGAAGAAAGGATGCATCCCAAAGTTTGCATTGTTATTAATAACAATGAAAAATGATCGATATTGAATTTTACTTAAAGATGCATCCCATTATTGCAGTAGCATCATGTTTGTTTCATGTTAGTTTCATTTCATATATTCTGGTTATCTGTGTCAAAAGTTAAGAAGTCGTATGATGTATATTTATATACGTCATATTAGGAAAATAAGATGATATGTACTGATTTCAGTGGCTGATATTTATCTGCTGTGTCACTGCAGATTTGCTCTGGCTAAATATGCTGGAATTGTTGAAAGAGTTGAAAATGATCAGAGGAAAAAAATACTAAAAAAGGGGGGGGACCGTACCGGTGACAGGCTGTGGTGACGTAACTCGGCTCATGAAGCTCATGACAAAAACCAATGTGGCAGCCATAAAGGATGGCGGTGCCCCTGAAGCTCACCAAGTAGAGCGTGCATCCAGTGTAGTAATTCCTGATGTTGTTACTGCAGTGATCTGGGTCAGGACAGCCATTTATAGTGTGTGTGTGTGTGTGTGTGTGTGTGTGTGTGTGTGTGTGTGTGTGTGTGTGTGTGTGTGTGTGTGTGTGTGTGTGTGTGTGTGTGTCCCTGTTAGCACTATACTGGCTCATCAAGTTTCCCTGAAGAACAAACAATATTGAAGGCCATTTATTTACATGAACGGATATCACCGGATTAAAAAGTGTGGCACATGACTGATTTTCTGGGTTGTATGTGACAAGGGTAAGAGCTTGGTAGAGAATGATCTCTTTGGTGGTTGAGCAATAGATTAGTTTGTGGGGATTTCTGAGAATGATTGGAACCTAAGTTTCCTCTTATATGAGTGTGTGGGTTTTGATAGCTTATTGAATGATAAGCTTTGCATTATCTGCTAACTGATCTCCACAGAGACATGCAAAGGAAATACTCACATGTATCATACTAGAGCATTATAGTCTTAGCAAACCAGCTCCAGCTCAGCTGTTTTTTATATTTGCTTATCATGAGCATTGTTGAGCTAATGTTTCTAGTGTGGGAGCATGTAAACAGGAAGTGGATCTAATGTTTGATGGAGTTGAAATTGTTTTCACAGATAGCCTCTGTTATGTTGTCAGACCAGTTGTCTGTTGTTTGAGAATCTGATAATTAAACCCATAAGGTTGAGATGAGTCTGAACAATCTTACCATTTATTGTGCTGTTGGGGTTTGTTTTTTTTTTTGTTTTTTTTTAAGTTGGCTCTAAAATCCATATTGTAATTTCTTATCTCCATTAATAATTGAGATACATTCAAGCTTTTATAATGGCTTTTAAATCATTTAGTAAATAGACCACTTCTCTTCTCTGACCACTCAAAGTGCTTTTTAAGTATTGTAACACAGATATTGTGAGAGATGAACCACAAACACAATTTTCTATATCACCCAATCTTTCTTTAACAAGAAAGAAGTAATAGGTGCATTGCAAGCATCCCTCAAACCACTGGACCTCATTTGAGGGAAATAATTAAAGAATAAGGACAGATTATGCTCCAAAAGTGACAAGTATGTAATAAAAAGCTGTGAGCCAGAGACAAACTGACAAAACAAACACCAACATGTATGGGTTTGCTGTTTTGTTTTTTACCACAACCATAAATATGTAAAATATGAAGACATTGTGGAGAGGTGTTTCTATTTTTTTATTATCCTACATTTAATTTTCTGTAAGTGTTATTAATAAAGCTTAGATATAATTTAGATCAGTTATAATAATGGATAGAGAAGGGTTAATCAGGGACTTTCTTGGCAAATTATTAATCAGAAAATCTTCTAAAATGATGTCAAGAGAAAAGTTACCTTTATAATAAGAACGAGGAAAAATCATTAATTATTGACCAAATTTAGATTGTAAATTGTCAGTCACTGTTACCAAAAGCCAAATGTTTTAATTTATTTTATTTTATTCTTTTAGTTTAATATCGCATTTTATCTTCCCAGATGTGTTGTGCCTCCTAGCTTTGAAGTAGGTGGAGTTTGTTTTTACAGTCAGCTATCATGTCCAAAGAGCAGAATTTATAGCTGCTCCAAGGTTAGATTACCATATGAAGCAGTTGCCCAGAAATAAAAGTAGAAAATCAGGTGAACAATGTTCCATTTAAATGGCAAACAAGCCATCGAACATGCTTCCTCAAAATCTCTTATATGACACGATCTGATAGAAAAATCGTACAATGTGTTAGTCTGTCTCTGTTCATGTGTCATTCATAAATATTCATGTCACTGGTGACACAGTGCCATCTGACTCTGGCCACAGGCCTTATTATAAACCGCACCACAGTGGAGCTCTCAGAATTGTAGACAAAGTGACACAGTTCCTCACAGCAAGTCTCCCTGATGCATCATGCAGGTCACTTTATTCTCTTTGTAAAGGCCAGGGAATGTTGACAGTGCAGTGACACTTGATACACATTTGCACTTAAGCACACCTGTAACTTTAATAATCTTTCAGGGCAAGCAGTAACAAGACCGGGGCAATCAAATTCCAAGCAAGTGCGCTGGCATTTTCTTCCCCTTTATCTCTAACACTAATGCCCCACCTTCTAATCCCCCCTCCTCCCAGGTAGAAGATCAAACACCATGGTGGAAGTAGAAGGCAGGTCTGAGCAGGCGCGGGTGTGAACCTGAGAATTACAGCTGGATACATCGAGACTGTCGGCAGAGAAGGAAAATGTCCCGAAATGTTAACTTTGACCTGAGCCACCCGCTTATGGAAGCTGGACTGGAGTAAGTGTCACTGTAGGGCTCTGTGTCACTTCATGTTACTCTTGTTTTGTTTTCACACTCTTCATTTTGATTTTGTCGATTTTTTTTTTTCTTAGCGTGAAGGCCGTGAGAGCGGGAGGGAAGGCTTAAATGGGAAGGCAGATCAGACTGTACTCTGGTGCAGAGTTTTTGTCGTTTTTTTTCCTATCCTTTTCTTTTTTTTAACAATGCGACCAGCTGCTGAGCTCCACTTTATTGTCCTTGTTTCTGTTTGGTTGAACAGATCATGACTGTTTGCATGCTTGCTTCTTTTAATTCCTGTGTAGAAGTCAAAGGGAAGCGAACTTGCTGTTTGTCCTTCTAAAAAGACAAATGGTCTCTCCAGCTGGCTTAGGCGTACAGTATCTAAATCGGGAGTAGGCAACTTTTTTTTTTTTTCTAAGAGGGCCTGACTGACTGGTAGGGCTGCTCAATTAATCGAATTTTAATCACGATTACGATCTGGGCTTTCAACGATCATTAAAAATGACTGAGCCGATTATTAGCCCCTCCCTAATTTATCCGCGACACCTTAAAGGCCGGTCCGTGAAAATATTGTCGGGCATAAACCGGTCCTTGGCGCAAAAAAGGTTGGAGACCGCTGATTAAGAGGACCCGAGGGAAGCTCGGAAAGCTAAGCAGAAGTTATTTGGAGAGTGACTGCCGTTGGTTGAAAAGAGAGTTTAAAAAAAAAAAAAACTTCAGTGGTGTTGCACACTATTTTATATTATTTTTTTAAAGTCATTGTTAACCCTTTAAAGCCAGTCAGAGCAGCATGCTCCGTTTTGTGTAACTATTTTTTAAATCCCTGTAGAACCTGAACCGAGTAAGCTAGCGCAATAATTTGTTTTGCATATGAAACCAGAGGAGTTGTACTTACATCTTATGCCATCAGCTTGTCCTCGGTCACGGTTTCCTTTCACATAAAGCTTTGCAAAAATTGCATAAAAAGGCTTGCAGGAACAAAAACATAATATTCCAGAAACACGCTTTGCCGATCCGATCAGCTGTTCGTAACACTTCCCACAGTGAAACAGACTCAGCACGAACTATCACATGTCCGCCATTTCCTGGCCGAAACCGGAAGTGATGTCATTTTCGCGGAAATTGTAGTTTTTTACTTGTAGGCCTTAAACCTATACTGGTCATGTTTGACTTTTCTGTGTCGTTTCTGGGATGCTTAGAACTCGAATTGCACTGCTGGAAATAGTTTATTTTGATGCACCTGCTGTTTTCTTTGCAAATTTGCATCATAGGATTGTTTTTTCGTTTTTCCTGCAGTATATAAAAATTGGTGTATCTCCAAAATAAAACTATGAAGACACTCAAAATAAATTTCCTGTTGTTGTAAACTATTTTTTGCAACTTTTTTGTATTTAAAGCTTTGAGGGATAAACCTCTTAAATTTCTCCAAGTAGAAATATATGTAAAAAATACAAAAAACGATTTTCAATTTTTTTGTAGTTTATTGCACTTTTTTTGCAATTAATGTAGTTACTATGGACTTAATGCATACATATTATTAAAATATGGGCTATAACAGTTGTATAGCAACTTGAAATGCTCCCACAAATGGCACTACAACATGTAAAAAAATAATATAAGCTCTGGCGGACTTGGTTCTATAGTAGGTCTTAAAGGGTTAAATAAATATCGTCAAATAATCGAGATCTCAATTTCAGTGAAAATAATCGTGATTATCATTTTTGCCATAATCGAGCAGCCCTACTGACTGGGATACAAGGCAAGGAACCACAGCCCCACAGCAACTAGTTAGAGACAGGACATGGTGCTGAAATATGTTAAAACTAATACATTTTGGTCAAAATGGTTTTACAATAAGCCAAAACCAAGAACCTTGTTAGAAAATGTTTAAACTTTGTGTCAGTCTGGCACACAGTCAACGTAATGCACGCATTAACTTTTATTATTTAATGCATGGCTGCATGAGTAAATGGAAACGGATAAAATATGAACAACATGGTCACATTCGTGAGTGTGAATTGTCATATTTGTCTGACATTTCTTTTTTACCATCTATGAAACATTTTGCGTATGAAAAGTTTCCCCAGACACAGACTGGTGCCCGACATATCCTCCTCTGTGTGTTTCATAATCGCTGTTGAACCTCTCTCCTGACCTCTGTACATGTCTAATTTGGATTCATTGCTCCATAAGACATGGTGTCGCTGACTTTCATTTCAGTTCCTGTGTAATCTGGCATACCATCCCCTGTTTCCTTTACTTAAGAACAGCTCAACATCCTTCCAATGAGATCATTTCTGATGAAGCTTTGAACAGTAAATGGTACAGTTAAAGAAGCAGATGCAACAATCATGTCCCATGGCAGGTCTTTTTTTGTTTGTTTGGGGGGGTTTTTTGTAAGTTCCTGGCACTTTTTTTGTCCTGTAATTTCTATGCAAAGTTTCTGGCTTGTAGCTCTTTGGGAATCACTTTGTAGGTAATTTTTGGCATTTTTGAAAGACCTTCAGGAGAACTATTACGCAAGACAACTTAAAAAAAACAATAAGCAAACTTTGGCTCCTTGGAAGCAAAAATGAGAGATGACTTGAGACTTTTACACTGGACTGTGTATTGCGCTTTTTTGTTTGTTTGTTTGTTTGTTTGTTTTGCCCAAATGTGATATAGATGGTGCAGGAAGAGGCTTGCAGCCTCCCACTCCCACCGGGGCCACTGATGACCAAGTCAGAAAGTGTTTTATCTGTAGGTTACTCAGTGGTCACTGGCCCTCAGAGCACTTTGAAGCCTTTGAATCTAGCCTAGTCTGTACCACCCTATTTCCTTTTTTTATCGGTCCTCAAGCCTGTGCGTCTCTCTGTCAGGAGCCCGGCAGATGAGGAAGGTGTTCACGATTCATTTCAGCAGCTAATTGCAGAACACAGTGACAATGGAGCAGCATCCAGTGCCTTGGAGCTGCAGCAGCTGCAGAGTGATTTGGATGAGGAGAGTCGAGGTAAAAAGAAAGACTGTTTGCATGTGATGAACTCTTATTTTTCATTTATATAAAAAATATATATTCTCTTTCTTCATGCCTAAAATGTCTTTACCACTTGTAATACCTTTCAATGCTGCGTTGAATTGCAAAGGCATCATTTTCTGTCTATTTGTTTTTCTATCCTCAGACAATATGCCATTGAGTGGCCCTGAACATGAGCATAGAAGGAGGCAGGGGGCAAGTGATTTGGAATGTGATGGTGGTGAAAGAGAAATGGACCCCATCCAAGGTGAAGGCTGGTCCTCGGACACCTTGAAAATCCTGTCCTCCATGCCCAGTCGCACCATTGGTGAGTCCTGCAACAAGCAACTATTAATCATGAGGAGAGTATTATACATAGAAATAAATAAATCAGTTTGTTTTAAAACCTTATGAGCACACTCATCTGGATTACTTTGTGTGTGTCCAACATGTGTTTTAATATAATTTTGACACTCCTCTCTAGGATTTCTGACACATGCTGATTCAGTGTGGTGACTGTTCACTTGAATCATGTCGGGCATGCAGTGCAATCCATCCAGCACTAATCACTAATAGTGTGTTGGCTTAGTCAGATTTAAAACTATGTAACAGCTGCAGAGCTCTAAGTCAGAACATTTTCACGTTTCTTTTAAAAAAATGTTCTTACAACTAACTTAAATCATAAACAGTCTCACACAGTCTATATGCTGTTTTCCTTTTGTTTTTACATTATTGAAAAATATCAGACTTCTCAAACAGTTACCACAGAATGAGAAATGAGAATTGTTACCACAGTTTGGTTTATGTTGAAATCCAGTCAAAATCCTTAATGCAAAGTGTTCTAGAAGCATGTTCGCAGTAGTTTCTGAGAAATATACAGACCTAAAACACAAAATACTGTCTGAAAGTTGGTCTTGTTCTAAGAGCTTTCTTATCCCTTTTTTTTTTTTTTTAATTAAAAAATATTTAAATTGTAAAAAAAAAATGGATAAGATCGTCTTTATCTTTCCCAAAAGTTTGTTTTGTTTTGTTTGTTTGTTTGTTTGTTTGTTTTGTTCTTTTGCTTATCTGTTTGTTTTGGGTGTTTGGTTGTTTGTGTGTTTGTTTGTTGGAATAGCTTAAAAAATAAACTGATTTAAAAAAACAACTTAAAATAAATAAATGTTATTTAATGTTTTGCTGAGTGTAAAATAATTAGGTGGCCCTAGAAAGTAACTTAATGAATTCAGTATGGTATATTCTATCATATTCTAAAGTAACTTGCTAAATAAATGCTCAGTATACCACTGTAGTGGACAGGGCAGTGCTGACCAGTAAAATGAGGTACTGGTGTAGCAGGTGTTAACATGGTGTTGATGTGTTTCAGCAGGAAGCATTTCGTTTATCACCTTCCTGTCTGTGGCAGTTCAGGAGAAACAGGGTGGCAATGAAGATTGCTTTATCTCTTTGCAACATGGTGCAATATTTTAAGCATGTGAAACACAACTGGGAGATTATATAGACTTAGACTATATACCAGACTTTTAATACACGCCAAGCCACCCAAAAAAGTATTTTTTTTTTTGTAAACCTGCTAGCTTAATCTCTAAGAATGTAACATAAATTATTTATATTTATATTTTATATAAAGAGTAGCTACAGCTATAAAATAAATGTAGTGCAGTAAATGCTTTGTCTCCCTTTAGAGTTACCACACAGGCTGCGGGGAAGTAGCTGCTAGAAAGAGACGAGGTGGCTTCTGTTAGCTTGCCACAAAGTTTACAAGATGTCTGCATGATTTAAAGCTTTAGCAGTTTATCTGCATCAAACGGTGCTTCTTAATGTACTTCTTCTTTCACCCAACTTCTTGTTTGGGTGAAACAAGAAGTTGGAAGAGCTCTCTGGTTTCATGAAACTCCTTCGAGGAAATAATTGTTGTTGATCCCATTTCTGCAGGCCGCAACAGGGGAGCCATCATCTCTCAGTACTGCAACAAGACCTTGAAGCTTAGGAGACGCCGGCAGACCAGACCATCCATCCGGGACTTCTCTCCCTCCTCTAGACCGTCCATACGAAGCTACGGCATGGAGGGGGACACTACAGATGCAGAAGGTGGAGGCTGTCAGACGAGTGATGTGCACTGTTTACTCTGATTAAATTATACTGCATTAGAATGATGTAATATAAATGATGTCGCTTGTGTTTATTATAGTGAGTAAGAGGGAACGTCTGGTGAACAACCTGCAGAACCTGCCTGTGAGCGACCGGGTGAGGATGCTTCGAGGAATGCCTCTGAGTGTCGCTGAGAAGAAAGAAATCAGGCATGTTGCTCGTAGTCATCGCTTCTTTTGTGTTTTATTTATGTTTGCAGCCACATAAACTGACTGCCTGCTTAGTTCTACTCTTTCTGACATTAGCTGCACATCTTATTCTCACTGTATACTGGATTTTAAACACTGCAAATAAATGTAATGATCTACAATCTTTGATATCATTAGAGTATTTACAAAGTTTATATTTACTGGTCTGTAAATACTCTTTCACATCATGTCACTGAAAATGATCCTTTGTTGTTTTTTGTATACAGGAATTTAGTAATGCAGAAAGAGAAACGGATACTTTCCAACAAGAAGCTTTCCTGTTGCAGTCAACTTAAATACTACATCATCATTGTAAGTTATCCTTTGTATTTCTGTGATTTTTAAATTCCTTAACAGATACAAGGAAACTAGAAACTGTTATAGTTGTGTTTCTATGTTTGCATTTTTAATAGTGAGGGGAAAAAAGATTAAAAAAATGCTTGCCCACACGGAGTTCAAAACTCACTTTAACTCGTTTGTCTTTTTTTTTTCTTTTTTTTTCTTTTGAGAGGGAAAAAGTGTCAATACTTGTATAAAACAAATACAATCAGTATTTATGTGACAAATAATATCTTGCTGTGAGGGATAAGTTTGTCCTACAAACTGCTGAGAATTGTAGAGATGACGACCCAAAGTGCACAGTTTGCACATTGTGCTCCCATCATTGTTTTCAGTTGCATCCTGTTCTCCTGCTGCGTCTTATCAATAATCAGTTTCTGGAGTATAACCTCTTTGTCATGTACTTGGATTTCTGTGTTTGTGTTTATAAGGTACTGTTCCTTCACTCATATGAACATTACTGTTAGCAAGTCCAAAATAAGAACAAAGTTCACTTGTCATTGGATGGCAGAGAGGAAGCAGAATAAAATTCAAAATAAAACTGAAAACTAAACATGAAACTAACACAGACATGAATACTAACACTTAGACAAAGGACTGAAGCATGAACATGGAACTAAGACAAAGGAAGTCACAACAAAAACACTCTGAATAGACCAGGGCTACTGATAATAATCAGCCTGAACCACAACACAAAGTAACACAAAACTAAAACCCAACAGCAGAATATTTCTAAACTAAACACAGAAACCAAAGACTCAAAAATACCACAACTAAGACTCACAATATACCAGAACAATAAAGAAATCAATGGGAAATGCCTAAAGAAAAACTTAAGCTTAAATATATTTACTAAGAATTTGAAACTCAAATACACGAGCAATCCACATACTTGGCAAGAAAGAACCCCACAAGGCTCAGGGGCTGGTCAGCAAACACATGTCATGTTTATCTCCCATATGTGATTGATTGTGTAAATTGTCAGTACTTGGCTAGTGCAAGATTAAAAAATTAAGTTCTGCTCTAACCACATTTCAAAGCATAAAATCATATATGAGCATATCTGTCTCCTCTGCATTCCTTCCTTTTTTTTTTTTGTTTTTTTTTTTTAGTTTAAGCTGGGTTATTCTTGTCAGGGTCACTGAGGTGTGATAACATGGAAACACAAATGAAACTCATAAAATGCACTGTGGATAAATGTGCCCAAGGTCCTGAGGTGTAGAGGAGTGTGGGGTATAGGTGTGATATTGTGTAATGTGCAGCTTGTTACTTTGCAAAACGTTTTCTACAGAAATTCCAAGTTACTGACAAAATGTAAACCCTACCTGAACCAAAGAAGCATTTGAGTCGCGACACAAGCCTTTCAAACTTTAGCTATGTAGTAAATGTAGCATGATATCTACAATGTGTAAGAGTGCTTATTCATTATGTGGTAGTAAGGGACAGGTTATTAACTCTGCTTTAAATGTCTGCAGCGCGGGGGGGGAAGCGTTCGACCTGTCTTCATGGTTTTATATGTAACAACTGCAAGATCTGTCTCCATCAAAACTTCACAATTCATCCTTTTAAGATCCTATAAAACATTATTTAATATTAAAGATTTAAATGTGTCACATGAAAATGGAACATTTGACTTTCATGTTGCAGCTGGGGTGGTTATTTCCTGTAGGTGTTCCTACCAGTGTGATTGCTCTGTTGCCCAAGCATTTATGACTTTCTATATGAGTCACAGCGTCTCAGAAAACCACAAACACACGTCCAGTTTGTCTTGTGTTGCTACAGTGATTTATTTATTTTTTCCACCTGACTTTTTTTAAACTGTCTCCTTCCAGGCTGCAAGAAAGAGCTGGTACAGCTGGTTGTCCTTCCTGCACTCTCTCCAGCCGTGGCAAACGCTGCTCAAGAGAGTGAGCGGGCGTTTCGGGACTGGAGTCCTCTCGTACTTTCTCTTTCTCAAGACCCTAGTCTTTTTTAATGTCTTCCTGTTCCTGGTTACGGGTGCGTTCCTGGTGCTGCCTCAGGCTGTGCATCCTCCATACCGGGATACGACATCATTCTCTGGACTGGAGCTCCTCACTGGAGCAGTAAGTTGTCTGCTGCAGAGTTTGCATGTTCTCCCTGTTTTTGCGTGGGTTCTCCCCGGCTTCCTCTCACAGTCCAAAGACATGCAGTTAGTGGGGATAGGTTAATTGGAAACACTAAATTGCCCATAGGTGTGAATGTGAGCGCAAATGGTTGTCTCTGTCTATGAGTTAGCCCTGCGACAGACTGGCGACCTGTCCAGGGTGTAACCTGCCTCTCGCCCTAAGACTGGGATAGGCTCCAGCACCCCCCCATGACCCTGAAAAGAATAAGCGGAAGTGGATGGATGGATAGATGGATCGATCAACTGAGGAGTTGCACCAAGGCCTAGTATAAGATGAATAAGGATAATTTTGCACTGAACTATACAAAGAAACAATACAATCAAACATAATTTTAGCTGCTTGATTTGGAAATGAGCATAACAAATAGCATTTAAGAATTTGATATGTTCCCTTATTTACAGGAAGTGTAGTAATAATAAGAACAAAGACGAAAAATTATTTTTCCAGGCAGTTCCTGTTCCCAAGTTGGAGCAATGCAATTTGTTAACCTTTCACTGTGTTTGTTTATTTATATTTGCCTGTACTTGCTTGTAAAGTACAGCTAAAGAAGTTTCTGTTCTTGTGTTTGTCTCAGGGCTCTTTCTCACATACCGTTATGTACTATGGATACTACGCTAACTACACACTGCCTAGGCGCTCCAGGGATGAAGGGGGAGGACAAAATGCCTCCACATTGACAAGTGACTCACAGCAGTTCTCTTACAACATGCCTCTCGCATACTTTTTCACCATTGGAATGGCATTTTTCATCACATGCATCATCCTTGTATACAGGTACAGATAAAAACAGACCTCATACAACTGTATCCACATCAGTCTTGCTTTTTTGTTGTTTACACGTCATCTCCCAACAGCATGTCGAAAACATTTGGTCGGAGCTTCAGAATCAACAAATCTAATAGTATCTTGACTATGAAGACCTTCAGCTGCTGGGATTTTAAAGTCATCAAGAAAAAGTCTGTTCAAATCATGTCTGAAAATATCGGCACACAGCTCAAGGTAAGCATGCAAACAAACACGATGCTCGTTCACATTGTAGACGCTGACTGGCAGGAATGTGCTGACCTGAAACATTCATTGTGGTCTGTATCTCTCCCTCACACCATCATTCTCCTGCCCCCTCACCAGGAGCTGCTGGCAGAGCTGACTCAAAAGCATACCAAGAGCACTTTCTGCAAAAGGTTCTGTAGGCTGATGGTTCATGGAGTGGCATGGACAATCTGCATAGCAAGCACCACTGGCTGTATGGCTGGCGTTTACTACTTCTCTGAGTTTATCCACAAGGTGAGGCTGGATGGATTGTCCTCCCCAGTGTGTCATAAAGTCTTTGTTCCATATGTCTCTTTAAACAGGGAGCTTGTTAACACGGGATGTACTTCCTGTATATCACACAGATTAGTGACTAGGTGCACGTTTTCAGCATCACAGTAATATCTAAATATCTCCTGCTGCTTCTAAAATGAATTTAATCTATTTATACATCTTATATTTCCCACTTTTCTTACAATTTCATTCATTTCAAATTTATATACATCTATGATTATAGTCAGGTTCAGTCATGATATGTATCGACTAAAAATATTGCTCAATCAAACCAATACTTTCCAGTAATGTAACTGAACAGCTTATCCACACCTTGTTTCTTCCTGCTTAGGACCTGCAGCAAAACCATCGTAATCTTGACGTGAACCCTTTGATGAAAGAGGCCAAATTGTTGTCTCTGCCTACGGTGGTTTCTGTTATTAACCTGCTGTTACCTGCCCTGTTCAACCTCGTCGGCTGGATGGAGACCTACGAGTCACCTTCTGTTTTTGCATATGTCGCCATTGGCCGGTACGAGCAGAGCATTATGTGGTTGAGTAATGTCAGAGGTTAGAGTACAGAACTGATGGATTTGGTTGTTAACAGTCTCTCTCTGTGTTTTCTAGGAATTTGATGTTGAAGATGAGCATGCTTGGAGTTCTCTGCTTCCACTGGCTGGGTCGGGTGGCTCCTGAATACAAAAGCATTGGCCTGACGGTAACATAAACAAGAAATTACACTTTGAAGCTACCAGAGTAGACAACTGTGTGAATAAAGGGTTTCTAATCACAAGTTTGTTTTGACTATGTCTGTTATCTCAGTGCTGGGAGGATTTTGTGGGTCAGGAGCTTTATCGCTTCCTGCTCATGGACTTCATCTTCACTCTACTGGACACGCTGTTTGGCGAGTTACTTTGGAGGTGGGTCACTTCAACAAGTTCTTTCTTGGTTTGTCTTTTTTTTTCTGTCATTAAATGTAATTAAACTTTTATCTCTTTATGTACTTTTAGTCAAGTTCTTTTATTACATTAACTCATCTCATGTCTCCTCTGGCCTTTGGCAGGTTGTTTTCTGAAAAGGTGCTGAAAAGGAAGAGGAAACCAGTGTTTGATATCGCCAGGAACGTTCTGGATCTCATCTATGGACAGACATTAGCCTGGTACAATTCTCTTTAGATATGCACACAGTGAAGTGGCCCTGCTGCGACAAGCTCTTCATTCTGATGGATGAGAATTATGTTTGTGTTTCTTCAGGTTGGGAGTTCTCTTCAGTCCAGTCCTGCCTGTGGTGCAGATTCTCAAACTATTTCTGGTCTTCTACATAAAGATGGTAAATGCACAAAAGAGACACTGAAATTCAAAAAGAAAATCAGAAAAAACTTGCTCAAGGTGGAACTGTTTTTTGTTTGTTGTTGCAAAAGAGTTAGTGAGAGCTAATTAGAGGTACAGGGTGGTGGTGTGACAAAGAACCAAACAAAACAAAAAGGAACTTATAACAGAAGGGTAATAGTTAAGCCTGACTCTTAACCATCAAAGGTGAAAAAGCAGCATCCTGCCAGTGTCTCAAAATACTTGCAGTGTGGCGTTCGGGGAAGTGAATTATTACTGTCTCGCCAAAACTCCTGTTGTTTTGCAGGTGTGTCATGCAGAGGAACAAAACAAGCACGAACCTCTGACACTTCTTATGAAGGCATTGACCTCTGACCCCAGCTCTTGTGTTATTTCTTTATTCCACAGAGCAGTGTGATGTTGAACTGTCAGGCCCCCAGGAAGCCATACAGAGCCAGCCAGATGACCACCATCTTCATCACTCTCCTTTGCATCCCCTCCCTCCTCGGCGCCTCCGTGTGTGTCACATATACCATGTGGAGGTACTCGCAAACAGGCAGCTCAAAGAGGATTTAACCCCCTCCTTTTCTCTAGCTACTACATCTGCAACTCTGGCATGTTCACATCAACATTAATGCTGCATGAATGAAACCAGGTCACTTATCTATTCCAGTGAAATCACAAATGCAGAATAATCCTAAAAAAACCAACCTGCAGCACAGCACAATCTGCGAAGCACTTTATTAAGCAAACAGTAGCTTTTTTGTGTCAAACTGTTCTTCAAAGAGCGAATGGGTTTGATTTTGAAGAACAGATTGGTTCTCAGCTCTGAGAGTAACCCAGAACTGATAATGTTCTCAGTCCAACAGCTGGAAACCTCAATGGAAACCTTGGCATTTAAGTGGTCGCCTTGAGGAGATCGTGTTTTTGACACTAAGAGGGAGGCAGGTCCCTGTAATGTGACTGTATCCCTAAGAGATGAATAATAGATACAAACACACATGTGAGCTCAGCCTTAGTGAAGGGTTATAAATTCATGGCTGGGTTAGTTTCAAAAAACTTTTTCCAACAATAAGAAACAGAACTTGATTCGTCTTTTGTTCTCCGGCCTGCACAAATACTCGAGGCATTCACACATCTGTTGTTTCTGTGTCTTCAGCATCACACCGTCTACATCGTGTGGTCCGTTTCGTACGCTTGACACAATGTTTAAGGCGGGAAAACACTGGATGGAAATACTGGAAAAAGATAATCCCAGCCTGTCCGTGCTGTCCAAGGCTCACACATATTTTGTGGAAAACCCATTTTTTCTGTTTGTGGGAGCAGGCATCTTTCTGTGAGCACACACACACACACACACGATCTATATCACTGATAGCAGTGTTATCTTTTTAAACACTTGATTGTTTTGTGATTTTCTGTTGATCAGGATAGTGATCTACTTCCATAGTCAGGTGGTGGACGGTCAAAGGAAGATCATCAGTTTACTCCAGGATCAGATACAAAATGTAAGGCACCACCTAGTGTTCAAATACAGATCTTGGGGGTTTTTTCAGTCCAAGTTTACCACAGTGCTAGGATGTTATACACTGAAATGTATTTGTACTTTTTCTTTTTTCCTGCGTGTCTTCAGGAGGGAGAAGATAAAAAGTTCTTGATCAATCGGCTGCAGTCTGTCCACAAGCAGAAACAAGATGCTGGAAAACATCTTAAAAGCCAAGTCGGTCACCTTTATAACCACCAACATTTCTAATGCTACAACACCAGACTGCACATCCAACCTTTTTCTTACCTTCCATGTTATTTCTTTTCTTTTTTTAGGACTCTACATGTTGAGGCAGCTGATTCTCCAGAAGACAAACCTCAGTCCACCAAGCACAGAAATTTTAAACCTGTGTGGATAAAACTGGAATACTAACCAGGAACTCAAAATCACTATGCAGCAGTAGATGTTTCATTTTGCCAAACGCAGATTGTTGAAGTGTGTGTTGTTAGAAGGAAAAGGGACTGTTTATTTATCTACGTGAATGTTACTTGTGATGTTGCTGGTTTACTTTAAAGATGCACAGACTGATAAAGAGTTTAAGAAAAGGCAGCGTCACAGTGGTGGGATATGAGAGGGAAAGAAGAGAACAGTCTGAGGAGCTCAACAAGCGGATGAAACAGGTAAATCTTTCTGTAATAATAAAATGGGCAGCATAACAAGAAATCTTTAGCCCTTCCTTTTTTAGAAGCACTTTTATAGCAAATGTGAACAAAAGTTTATTATTACTGGAAAGATATTCTACCGTGTGTTAGTATGTATGCTGTAGCTGGATTTATTACTTGTTGGTGTGAGTGTGTTTATGTTGTAAATGATTTTTTTTTTTCTTGGGTGATAACTGCCACTGTTCTGTTTTGTAAGTAAATTATCTTTTTGTCATATTTCAGCGTGTATTTGTCTTTATTAGTGCGTTTTTAAAGGAGTGGGCACTACTACCATACAACAAAATATAAGGCTTACAGCCTGAAGAACAGTATGGACATAATGCACTCTACAAGCATACACTTTTCTTTCTTTCTTCTTTTTTTTTTTAAACAAACATGCAGGTAAAAAGCCAAATATGTAGTTGGTGGTATGTAGGTGGTTAACTGTGTTTGACCATAAGGAAATATAAAAAGATCTCTTCAGTAGAAAAATAAATAAATCCTTTAACCGTGGCCTGAAGAACAAAGTAATATTTCATCTTTATATCAGTAAATATTACCCATTAAATTATCTTTTCCATAAAGAGAAAAAAAAAGCAGCATATTTGGTGAAGGGTTGAAACAGCAGCACCGTAGATGGGTTTCTGAACTGGATATTTTAGAGGTGAGCACCAAGTCCCACAAAGAGCATGCTGGAAAAATCCAAAACAACAAACTGGGAAGTGTTTCCAGTCTTTCCCATCAAAACTCCGGAGACGGACCTGCACATATAAATGATACAGTACATAAAACTGCATATTTATGGAGGTTATGTTGATCTGATGTGATCTCATATACTGTAGTTTAAGAGCTCAAACACTGGTTTGATTGTATTCAGCTGAACGATATTGTCAAAACTCATGAGGCACTTTTGTGTGTTTATTTTGTTGGTGGATATCTCAGTTTTCATCCACTCTTCTGAAAAAGTGTCTCAGTTCCCGTTATTGAGCATGCCCAGTAGCTTCTTGGGCTCCATTCCCTGCTGCTGAGCCATCTTCTGCACGTCAAAGCCCATGTGCTTCAGGAACTGGATGACGCTCATCTCTTGTCCTGTCAGCTGGTCCCGAATGGTCGGGCAGGAGGGGTTGCAGTGCGGCCACGGGCAGCTGTCGATCAGCTGTAGAAGGCAACCTCTCACGGGAGGGGTCACGTGGCTGTGGCTGCTGTTGATGTGGAGGTTGTGATGGAGGCTGCGGTCCCAGCAGTGGAGGGCTCTGGGGAGGGAGATTCCTTTCACTCGGATGTCCGTCCAGTCCCTGCAGTGATGGGAAGACCAAAAGTGATGGAGCAAAGGTTACTAAGATGAAGAACAGTCCACAGGAAAAGTGCGCTCAAGTATAAGAAACTGATGATTCATGAGTATTTCATAGTTTGATTTCTCAAGTTCATTTAGTAAAATTCATGGAGACACAAGTTGGAGGGGACGGGTATGGATCCCTGCCTTATGTCCAGGGAAACAGACAACAAAAGTACCTCAGTTTGTTAGTCTGGGAAACTCTGGGACAGTGAGGTGCAGCACAGGGACCTTTTTAGTTTGACAAACTAAAATCATTCTTTTTGGGAATTCCCAAAGAAACTGACAAGTGCAGATTCATATAGATGATGTGGAAAATTAAAAAGTTCTTAAACAAAAGTTTCTTGGTGTGATGATAGATGATAAAAAAAAAAAGCTGGAAGTCCCATATAAATCATATACGTAACAACATTTCAAGAAGTATTTCAATTTTGAGTGAAATCACTCCACGTTCTCTATTGTTCAGATTTCACTGTATTTGCTTTACAGTGCAGAGGTTTGGGGCAATACTTATAAATGTTCGTTGTCATCAGTCTTCATATTGCAAAAAAAGGGCCATAAGGATAATCCATAAAACTGATTACAGAGATCACACAAATCCACTATTCTTAAAATCAGAAATACTACAATTCACAGATCTGGTTCATTTTCTCACTGTGCAATTTATGTATAAATTTACACTATTTATCTATCTATGGTTTGATTTTTACTTACGCTCTCGTGATGAGCTCATGAGACAGGCATGCCGGTGCAAACATCGCCCTGTCAATCAGAAAGAGCAGAGTGTCAGAAAAACTGAAGTCTTATCATATCTGTGAGCGTGTATGAGCGTTTTTCTTCCTTACGTTACGTCACGAAGCGTAAGCCTCAGCTCCTGCCCCAATTTCTGGATGTACCTCCACTGGCCCTCGTGGATGGGCTGTCCGGTCAGGTGGATGTTATCGACCGTCAGCTGGGCCTCGTCGAAGAGCCACTGCGCCACGAACACCGGGCCTGCAGGGTAGAGAGGACGTTCCGTGGGTCAGACTTTAAATTACGCATCATCTTCTGTCTAGCTGAGAAGCTCGGGGTGTGTGGTGACTCACTTTTTAATGTGGGGTAGACTTTATATCCAAAGAAACAGTTCCACTCCTCTCCCACGTGAGCCTGCCTGCAGCTCTCTGGCACCAGTCCTCCCCAGTACCTGCACAAACATAAACCATCGCACATTTTCCAAATCTATCTGGCCGTCCCTCCCACAGTTCTTGGTTGTAGCTTCAATCCTTCATTCATTCACTGCTTCATGCTACTACACAGGGATAGTATTGGCTAAATAAAAAAACCGTTTAGACACTCTGGTGGAAAAAAAAGTCACTATATCACTCCTTGAGCATCGTCGTCATCTTACCTGATGCCTCTCTTTATGGCTTCAGTGGGAGCACAGCTGATTGTATCCAGGCAGTCTGTGAATTTGTACTGTTTGTTATCCAGGAACCATCCAGAATCAGCCAAGCCCCTGACCTGCACCCCTGTATATCCCTGGGTCTCCAGCTGCTCTGCAACCTGATCCACATTCAGCAGGACACCTGTCCCACCGGCACTGGAGACACAAACAGTGAGTTAACAGTGAGCAGCCGCCTTTGGTGAAGAGCACGGAGGCACATGAAGCTGAACTAACCTGCTGCCTGCCAGGAGCAGAACCTTGGCGTTTTCTAGCCCGTTTGTCAGCAGCTCCTTCACCACCTCCTTAATGATCAGAGAGCCCATGAACGCATAATCACCTGAGAATAAATAGAAATAAAATATGAATAGAATATAAATGAATATAGTTATTTATAAACATGAGGCCACATGGCACACTGAAGCCTGGATTTATACTTAGTCATGGAGACAGGCAGCTGAGTAGTCTTGAGCTTACAGTATAAAGTGCCTTGAGTAGACTTGCTGTGATTTGGTGGTATATAAATAAAAGGAATTGAACTGAATGACCTCACACAACACAAAGGATCTACTGTTTTAAGACTGTTGATGCAGTAGGCTGTACTCAGGATGTAGAGAGTGTAGACTGAGATAGGAGACCTTGGCCTTCATATCAGATCAGGAGAGACAGTATAAAGAGAAAAAAGGTAAAGGGATAGGACCATAGACTGTATATTAAAAATGGATAAAGCCTCCTGATGTGAAAAGTGAAGCGGCTTAAACCTACATTGTTTCTAATGGCCAGCAGGGGGCTTATTTTTGTCTGGAAAAAGAGTTTGTTTCTTATAAAATAAATAAATAAATAAATAAATAAATAAATAAAGCACTAGTATGAAGTCCCAATGAATACATCATGATGCTAATTTTATAATTTATGGTCCCTGTTAGAATTCTTCTTCACAATGATAGGAAGAGCCGACATCGAAGGATCAAAAAGCAACGTTGCTATGAACGCTTGCCGGACGCTTGACACCAGAAGCGAGAGCCCGCTCGGGGGCTCGTCTCCCCACCTCACCGGGTAAGTGAAAAAACGATAAGGGGTGGCTGTAGCTCGGGAGGTAGAGCAGGTCAGCTGCTGATCGGCTGGTGGTTCGATCCCTGGCTCCCCCAGGTTGCATGCCAAATATCCTTGGGCAAGATACTAAACCCGACTTGCTCTCCGATGAATCCATCAGAGTATGAATGCATATGAATGATAGCTAGAAAGCACTCACTGTTAGAGACAAAAAGGATAAAGTGGCAACTTTATGATTGATAAGTCACTAATGATTATGGATTGTGTCTTTGTTTGTCATCATAGGTTGTCATGAGAACTGCATAGCAACGATATCCTATGATTTAAAAAAAAAAAGAAGAAATCTCAATATTTTGTAAAAAAGATCGACAGCATAAATAACTGTGTAATTGTTTTTTTTGTATTCCTTTGTACATGTATACATATATTTATAGATAGTAACAAATTCATCCCCTATTTATTCCAACATGTCCACACTTTGCACTGCTGCACATATAAATGCTATGTGTGCTGATTTTGTCAGTATTGTCTGTTGTCGAACACTGAGAGCAAAGAAATAATTGCAGCCCAATTCAACAGGGTCAATAAAGCTTATATTAATTACTTTAAATTATTTATAAATGTCGTGATAATGTCATAGATTTCTTATCGTAGTAAGTGAAGTGAAAATCTGTGACAACCCTGGTCTACGGGTTAAGTTGAGGGCACAGCGAGTTACCCAGAGGACTTCCACATGGGAGACTGAGGCCTGTTCTGTGTGAAGCCAAAGTCAGCAGGGACTTGTTTTTATTCGTGTGTATGAAGCTCGTACACGTGTGACGAAACACAAAAGAGAGGAAAGAGTTGCAGGAGGGGTGAATATTTCTCCAAATGCTGTTTTTCGCCTCCTTTTATTGATTTCTGCAGTTTTAACAGATGAGTGAATGTGGGTTGGTTTGTAACGCTGTAAATCAAAGATGTTTTTCCAAGTGCCTGAAACGCATCTAATAAAATATAATGAGGTTTTCAATAAACCAGAAGAGGAAGCTAAAAAATTTATAGATCTGAGAGCTAAAAGAGGCTCCACACACGAAGCCCTTTGACTCCACTGATAAATCTTTCTTTATAAATCCTTCTCTTAACCAGAGCCACAAGCTCACACACTGAGCGATCACGCACTGGGTCTTACTTTGATCTGTCTTCGGGGTGGCTCCGCTCCACACGTCGCTGGAGCAGTACGGGATGAACCTGTGGGGGGCGCGGGAGAGAGACAAACACTGTTAGGAGAACACAGGCAACCTGGAATCGCAGCCAGACTCGTTTAGACATTTAGATTTGATGATGCTGACAGATTAAAAAGCCCCGTTGGCTGTGTGACAGTAGACAGAACACAACAAGCACAAGTGTGTGCAGACAGCCGGGCAATAATGACAAAAACAACATCACTGTGTATCTTATATTGTATATATTCTAAATGAAATTATCAAGAAATGCAAGGAAACTTGCAAATAAACCATTTAAGCTTAAAAGGGTGTTGGCTATGCTAAATTCCAGCTCCATATGTTCATTTTTTGACACACTACTGAAGATGCTTTGCTTTATTTCTATGATTCATTCCTACAGTGTGATAGGATTGGGCTTAACATTCTACATATTTCATTATTTTTGGCTATCTATGCTGAATATATGCTGACCCCATCACTCATCCACCACTGTAACTGTATATAAAAGACAAAAAATGGAAAGCTTTCCAATAATTAATGCTATTTGTAACTTAGTATCAAATTTAAACAGCATAGTTCTAGGCAATAATCTTCTTTAGTATGCTAAATTTGCATTAACCCATGAGAAGTAGTTCACTGTCTCAAGTATCACCTCAGCCATGGCAACACTGACTCCATTTCTTTCAAATTAGAGCTTGTACTTCAAAGTAAAAGTATATATTTATCACAGAGAAGATCACAAACTGAAAATATTCATATGAAGCAACCAAAATGTTAAAAAACAAACAAACTCATTAACATAAAGATTTTAATTCTGACAGAAGTGAAGGAATTATCCCTGAAAAAAATGAGAGGGAAAATGCACAAAAGCATTAAATGTACAGAGAAGGAGCGGCATGCTTTCTTACACCATGTTGGCGTTCCACCAGTGAGGGTTTTCCTCCGGCTGTGGAGACAAAATTCCCCTTCCTGTGAAAGGAGGGAAGATGGATGAGATGTGACATGATGGTAACTTTATAGATAAACTGTAAAGTTAAAGAGGTCAGAAAAAGGTAAGATGTGCTGCGACAATTCTTTAATCCTGCTTTGTGTTTTACCGTTGAAGGTGATTCCCCTGCGACAAACAGTCGTTAACTTTCTCTGCTTTGGTCAGCATTTACATGTAGGCACTAAAGAGCCTGTGTGGCTGCTGCACTGGCCACCAGTGTAAAGTATACAGAGTCTGAGGGAGAGACTCATAAACAAACAAGGAGTTCCCTGATGGTTGGAGGGAAACAACCAGAGAGTTTGACTCACGATGATTAGTGCGATCTCAGCTAAAGTGGAAACGCAAACACTTCAATGGATCTCATTCATTCAGAGGAAGTTTTTATTTCCTGCTGAGGAAAGTGAAGCCTCTGTGAGGCTGTGCAGAGAATTCACAAGATCTGCTCAAACCAGGGAACGCCTTCATGCCTGGCTATAATCACAGAACATTTCATTAGGTACAACTCCTCATTAAAGCAAATATCGAATGGGCAAATCACAGTGCGTTTTGGCATGTGGACAAAATGAAGGCGACCTGATGAAGTTCAAACCGAGCATCAGAATGGAGAAGAAAGGTGATTTAAGCAGCTTCTTTAAGTTATTATTGGTGCCAGATGGATTGGTCTGAGTATTTTCTGAACTACGGATCAACTGGGATTTTCCCACAAAACCATTTCTACAGTTTACAGAGAAGTGACCCCCCAAAATAAAAACTATCCAGTCAGTAGTTCTTCGGATGAAAATGCCATGTTGATGCCAGAGGTCAGAGGAGAATGGACAGGCTGCTTTGAGCTTTAGCAGTAACTCAAATAACCTATTGTTATGAGCAAAGTATACAGAGGAGCATCTCTAAATGTGCAACATGACGGGCTTCGGCAGCAGAAGACCGCACTGGGTGCCACTTCTGTCAGCTAAAATCGTGAAACTGAGGCTACAAATCAAAAACTAGTATAAATTATGCTAAAGGTATTCATTTAATTTAAATAAAGACAATATTCTTGAGTGTTTCTTGTGGTCAGTGGTTTGATCCCCGTCTGTTTAACTCTGAAAGTTTATTTGAGCAAGATACAACACTGTATGTCTATGTAGGTTCTCTCTCATCCACTGCATGAAAGTCAGGAGTGCTTAAAAAGCAACTGGGCTTCTTTAGGTTCCTGAAAAAGTTTTCCTTTTCATCCAAGAGGATGTGTCGGTTCTTCAGAAGTACATACAACTAAATACAGTATCTTGCCCAAGGAAACTTCTAGAGGTTAACAGGTGGAGCCTGTTTTGGTCTGCTTGCTTTATTTATTCAGACAGCAGTAATTTTCATTAATTGTCTATTCTAATAACTACAGCTGTTCTGGCTCATGATAACAAGCATTTTTGTTATTTAATGGAGTTTTACTACAGTCAGCTTCCAAGGACACTTCATGATGATGGAGAGGAAGAGAAGCAGTGCCATGTGTCAATTTGGGCAGCCTCGGAAAAGCAAAAGAAATTGCGAGCTGTTAGTAAATGAGCAGCCAGATAGAGACGGCAATGTGTAGAAGTGGATTCTGCAAGCACACACTGTAGGGCCTGTACCTGTTCTGGTTAGTGGCCACTTGGTGGAGCTCATCAGTCTCCTCATCGTCTCATACCTGCTCTCACAGGTCTGACTGTCGAAGCAGTACCATCCACCTGAACCACACACACACACACACACACACACACACACACACACACACACACACACACACACACACACACACACACACACACAGGTTACAAATAGCTGCACTGAGTTCCCCGTGTGGTCTGAATCAGGTGTATTTCATCCTCACCTTCCAGGAACAGCAGCCACCTCTTGCTTCCTTTTGACTCCTTGATGTAGTAACTGCACAAGAACAGCAAAACAAAGCAGCGTGAAGGCGCTGATGTATTCACACATTCATGAATGGATTCAAACAGTCTCCACACACTGGGGATGCTTCCTGTTATCCTGAGCTGACAGATCTGGCTCTGATCACTAAGCTTCTCTGTAGGAGCCAGGGTACTGCAGACCCGCACATGTCCGGTTGTGTTTTTTCACATAGCGACAGGAAACTCACCATGCTGCTGGCAGCACACGAACACTCACACTTGATGCGGGTGGCATATCGAAAGAGTCATCTCATTCACAGCGATTTAATTCATATTTGGCCCACAATATATTATAATCTACACTTGGAACAGAGTTTAAAAACTTTGACATTGAGTGGAATTAACTGGTGATCCCATAAAGCTTTGAACTATTATTAGTTATAATCTTTGTTGTCATTACTCTTAATTTTGCTATATCGTAAAGTCGCCAGAGCAAGAATAAATGCCCCTCTCTCTTCCTCGCTCGCGCTCTCCCTCTCGTGTACGCGCTAATTTGCAGCGTGCATGGCGCTCTCTCTGATCTGATCCTTTGATCCATTTTGGTCACATCCGGAGTGACACGGGAATGGAGCACACGGATCTAAACCAGTAGTAAAACGCAGATCGGGTGTTGGGTGTATCTGCCCCTCCGTGTCTCAGATTCTTACCAATTAATGACAAAACTGTGGTTTTAAATCACGCCTGTAGGTCATTAAGAAACTCTGAAGAATCTGCAGGCCATTCACTTACCCTGCAGGTGACCCGTCGTTGCAAGTCACGGACACGTTCTTCAAAAAGTGCAGCTTCATGTCCTGGTCCAGCTTTTGCGCAGAGCACGGATAGAGTGACTGCGCTAAGTTCTTTATCTGCACTACAAAGTTGTCCATGTTGCCCTCCACAGCTGTGAAGTCTAACGGGAAGCTTTCTGCTCCTTCCACCCGCTCCCTGTACGGCGGGGGCGTCTGCTGCTGCTGCTGCACCCTCCGTGTTTGCGCCCGACCGCCGCGCACTCTCCTCGCCTCCACCGGTGCGCTCAGGTGGATGAAGAGCAGCAGCAAGCAGGAGCGCACCGCGGACAGTCCAAGTGAGTTTCTCGCCACACCACGGCTCTGCATTTCTAATTATTACTGGAGAACGTTCCTCGCGTGTTTGCGTGGACTCTGAAGAAAACACAGCATATCCTATGAGTGGGTAGATCGACGGGAAGTTCTTCGAAAGCGCATGGAGAGTTCAAGCAAACGGTCTCCTATACCAGCAGTGCTGGGTAAAAACAGCTTATGGGTCTCCATGGTGCCCTGAGAGATGGGTATCTGGATTCAAAATCATGCAAAATGCGCGTGCAGTTCCAGTTCATTTCCTTAAATCGCGTGCAGTTCGTCCAGTAAACGGGTTCTTCCGTGCGTAAAAATTTCTGAAGTTCCGTCCAGCTCAGTCTATCCAGTGACCTGTTGCCTTTTGGTTCAGGTCTTATAAGCTGCGGATGAAGAGGGAATTTATTTGAGGTCCTCCCCTCTCCTCCCCCCGTCCCCCCTGCCTGCCCCCGTGCTTCTCACTCCCGCGGGCCAATCGTTATTATCGTTGGCGGATGCTCCTTGCGGGGCGTGGGTCTCACACCAAGAGCGCGCGTATGCCTGGCACGCCCCCTCAGTCGGTTCACTCATACCCCCGGCCCCTTTGATGTTGTGTCATCATATGACCGCGCAGCCTTTGAAGTGTCTTTGATGAACATAGTGTGTGAGTAAAAAACGCAGTTGGACACGCCGTTCCGCTGCAGAAGGTCACGCCACTGATGCACATGTTTTGCGGCTTTTTATGCGCTTCAGAGTTAAACTGCATTTTCTTTGTGTTTGTGGCTCAAGATAGAAATCAGATAATCTTTTGGGCTATTTCACAACAGGAGATAAGGTCGCTGGAAGTTTTTAAATCATGAGTGTGGTATGTGTAGACAGCGATAGGGCGAACAGATATCGCTTTGAGTCACACTAAAGCATAAATCAACACTTATTACTGACAAGTAAAATATTTAATCTATGCTTGCGGTATGTGAGTTTTAGATTATTATGTGACAATTATTAACTCTGTTGTAACTGTTGACTGTATTGAAGGCCTTTGACTCATCCTTATTGTAAATGTGAGCCAGCGCTTCATCTTCTCCACTTTTTACTTTTCCTTTACAACCATTTTTTCCAAAACTGACTTCTTATTGTGTCGTTAAACCTCACAGATGAACAGAATCCCAAAGCAGTTTGAGAACCGGCACTGGCTGGCCTGGTTGGAGAACTCATCAGTGGTGTCAATGTCATTTTAAATGTGACCAATTTAATTTCAAGTGTGCTGGGTCAATAAAAACATTGTATGATTCCCCATTAAGACAATCTTTGCCAGTATGAAGTGGTTTGTGTGTTCTTCTCTGGGAGATCTTGTTTTTCCAGCCACTGGAAAAATAGAATAGAATAATTCCGCACATCTAGGCTCAAAAGAAAAGTGATTCTTAATCCCTGAAAGCTTCTTTTTCTAAGAAGATGGTGAAACTTGGATAAAATGAATTGTTTGTACAGCTACTGCAATCATGTGATTCATTTTAACCACTTAAAACACAGGTTAACTTCTGGTGAAGTGAAAGGTTCTCTGAGATTTTCACATCTTGTTAAGCCATCCAGGAGGCCAGACTGGACCTATGGGTGGGACACATGTAGCTCATGAGCCATATGTTTAACACCAGAAAGCTATGTTTTCCCATATTGTTTCTTTTACATCTGCTCATCTTTAAAAGTCCCCATTCATTCACCAGATCCACCGTCCTCTGATGACTAACATTCACACACTGCCTGTAATTTGATTTCGATCTTTGATGGTTTTTTATGATGAAAGGAACACTTAAAAAAAGGTCTCTCAGCATGTAAAACCCACTGCAGATGCCTTTATAAGTTTGCGCTCTATCCAGACAGTTTTGAAGTTTCAGTCCTGCTGAGCGAGGAAGGAAACTGATTGTTTGTTTGTTTGTTTGTTCAGATGGTGGCAATTTCCCACTAGGACTGAGAAGCGCATTCATTTCTGTCTGTCTGTCTCTCTTTCCCAGGTGGACTTTGTCTTTAAATGTTGCTGTTGAAGCAGTCAGTCAATCAGTCAGTTGTTCGGCCTCTGAAGCTCTGGCCTCACACCTCTCCATCTGTTGGCACCACTTGTCATGTTGTTTGTCTCGTCTTATTCCAGCTTTGATCCAATTTGATCCATGCTGAGAAAAAACAGCCTTGATTGTTGTTGCTCAAACTGCATACATACAGTACATTAGGTTTTCCATATGGAGAGCAGATTGACTGTGTGTGACTGTGTTGTGGTCAGTTTACAGACAGGATCAATTTCCTTCTCTCATGAGGCCAGATTGTGTTTTCTTATTATGCTTTTAAGGTCAAGGGAAGAGTAATGATCTTCATATTGTTTTTAGATGCACACTGTACAGTTCAAGCTGTGGAGGGTTTTTTTCACAGAATGAATAGACCTGGTTTTAGATTTTTTTTTTACATTCGAGTCTGATGTTGTTAACCCACTCAAATTATTTTTTCTAACACAAACGGATGTGTAGAAAAGACCTTCCCAAACTTAAGTCTCCCCGTCCACCCAGGTTAATGTGGTGACTCTAAATGCCATGTAATTCACATCATGTTTATAATTCATAAATAATTCCTTTAGCTGGATTTAGACAGACTAGTCAATAACCGTAACCCCTTTGGTTTATTCTGACAAAAGGGAAAGTAAGAGTTCGCATTAATATGATTAATGAGGTCTTATTTTTATATAAGTGTTCTAGTAAGTTGCCAGTATACACAGTACATAACATGGGATCCAATAATAAAAAATTACAAATTACACTTGTATGCATCTGTTAAGTCAGAAATTTAACACTAGTTTCATCCATCCATCCATCCATCCATCTTCATCCGCTTATCCGAGGTCGGGTCGCGGGGGTAGCAGCCTAAGCAAAGAGGTCCAGACCTCCCTCTCCCCAGCCACCTCCTCCAGCTTGTCCGGGGAATACCAAGGCGTTCCCAGGCCAGCCGAGAGATATAATCTCTCCAGCGTGTCCTGGGTCTGCCCCGGGGCCTCCTCCCGGTGGGACATGCCTGGAACACCTCGCCCAGGAGGCGCCCAGGGGGCATCCTTGCCAGATGCCCGAACCACCTCAGCTGGCTCCTTTCGATGTGGAGCAGCAGCTGCTCTACTCTAAGCCCCTCCCGGATGGCCGAACTTCTCACCCTATCTCTAAGGGAGAGGCCAGCCACCCTTCGGAGGAAGCTCATTTCCGCCGCTTGTATCCGCGATCTCGTTCTTTCGGTCACTACCCACAGCTCGTGGCCATAGGTGAGGGTAGGGACGTAGATCGACCGGTAAATTGAGAGCTTCGCTTTTACACTCAGCTCCCTCTTCACCACGACGGACCGGTGCAGCGTCCGCATTACTGCAGCCGCAGCCCCAATCCGTCTGTCGATCTCCAGCTCCCTTCTCCCATCACTCGCGAACAAGACCCCGAGATACTTGAACTCCTCCACTTGGGGCAGGAACTCATCCCCGACCCGGAGTGGGCACTCCACCCTTTTCCGGCTGAGAACCATGGCCTCAGATTTGGAGGTGCTGATCCTCATTCCCGCTGCGTTACACTCGGCTGCGAACCGCTCCAGTGCGAGCTGGAGGCCCTCACCCGATGAAGCCAACAGAACCACATCATCCGCAAAAATCAGAGATGAGATTCTGAGGCCACCAAAGCGAAAGCCCTCCGCCACTTGGCTGCGCCTAGAAATCCTGTCCATAAAAATTATGAACAGAACCGGAGACAAAGGGCAGCCCTGGCGGAGCCCATCACCCACCGGGAACGAGTCCGACTTATTGCCGGCAATGCGAACCAAGCTCTTGCAACGGTTGTATAGGGATTGAATGGCCCGTAGCAATGGGCCAGACACCCCATACTCGCGCAACACCTCCCACAGGACGCCCCGAGGGACACGGTCGAATGCCTTCTCCAGGTCCACAAAACACATGTAGACTGGTTGGGCAAACTCCCATGCACCCTCAAGTATCCTCGAGAGGACAAAGAGCTGGTCCAGTGTTCCGCGACCAGGACGAAAACCGCATTGTTCCTCCTGTATCCGAGGTTCGACTAGCGGACGAACCCTCCTCTCCAGCACCCTGGCATAGACTTTCCCGGGGAGGCTGAGGAGTGTGATCCCCCTGTAGTTGGAACACACCCTCCGGTCCCCCTTCTTGAAGATGGGGACCACCACCCCGGTCTGCCAGTCCACAGGTACTGCCCCTGATCTCCACGCAACATTGCAGAGACGTGTCAACCAAGACAGCCCTACAACGTCCAGAGCCTTCAGGAACTCGGGGCGGACCTCATCGACACCAGGGGCTCTGCCACCAAGGAGTTGTTTAACTGCCTCAGTGACCTCGCCCCCGGAAATCGGTGGGTCACACCCCTCATCCCCAGACTCTGCTTCCTCCCCGGAAGACGTGTCAGTGGGATTAAGGAGGTCCTCGAAGTATTCCTTCCACCGCCCGACAATTTTCTCAGTCGACGTCAACAGCGCTCCGCCAGCACTATACACAGTGCAGGTAGAGCACCGCTTTCCCCTCCTGAGACGCCTGACGGTTTGCCAGAATCTCTTCGAGGCAGTCCGAAAGTCTTTTTCCATGGCCTCTCCGAACTCCTCCCACACCCGAGTTTTTGCTTCAGCCACTGCCCGAGCCGCATTCCGCTTGGCCTGTCGATACCTGTCGGCTGCCTCCGGAGTCCCACAGGCTAACCAAGCCCGATAGGCCTCCTTCTTCAGCCTGGTGGCTCCCTTCACCTCTGGTGTCCACCATTTGGTTCGGGGATTACCACCACGGCAGACACCAACCACCTTGCGGCCGCAGCTCAATGCAGCAGCTTCGGCAATGGAGACGCTGAACATGGTCCATTCGGACTCAATGTCCCCAGTCTCCCTCGGGATGCTGTTGAAGCTCTGCCGGAGGTGTGCGTTGAAGATCTCGCGGACTGGGGCCTCTGCTAGACGTTCCCAGCACACCCTCACTACGCGTTTAGGTGCACCAGGTCTGTCCAGCGTCCTCCCCCGCCACCTGATCCAACTCACCACCAGGTGGTGATCAGTTGACAGCTCAGCCCCTCTCTTTACCCGAGTGTCCAGAACATATGGTCGCAGGTCTGGTGATACGATTACAAAATCGATCATCGACCTACGGCCTAGAGCATCCTGGTGCCACGTGCACTTATGGACACTCTTATGTTCGAACAGGGTGTTCGTTATGGCCAAACTGTGATTAGCACAGAAGTCCAATAACAAAGCACCGCTCGGGTTCAGATCAGGGAGGCCGTTCCTCCCAATCACGCCCCTCCAGGTCTCGCTGTCGTTACCCACGTGAGCATTGAAGTCTCCCAGCAGGACAACAGAGTCTCCAGGTGGAGCACCTTCCAGCACCCCCCCCAGGGACTCTAAGAAG